CCCCCCCCAAAAAAAAAAAGGTTATGTGAAGAAATTCATAAAGTTTACGCAGATCATAAATTAAGATTTTATTTAATTTATTCAGTGGTGTGTAATTTGTTTATTTGATTTAGGCCATTTAATTGTTTTTAATTATTTGCAGTATTGTATTTGGTTTTTTAAAAAAATGCAATCTCTCCTTTTTTAAATTAAAATACAAATTTAAAACAATTTTTTGTCAAATATTTAGTTTGGGTTTATCAATAAAACTCGATTGGTTTGTGAGATAAGTGATTTGCATAAGTACCGATTATTTTCAATTCATTTATAAAATGAAATTATCTGATCCAATATCAAAATCCGTGCACCAATAAAAATAAATTGGTTACAAGCCCACTCTATACCCTTGCCAAATTAAGTATAGTTATGGTATAGTTAGTAGTTACATTTTTATCCATGAATTTAAAGCATTCAAGGGGATGAATTCTTATTTTATTTTGATGCGTTGTGCTACATCTAACTAAGTTTATAAATTTGTCCTATGCGTGTTATATATGTACGGACATTCACTTATTAGGCCCAACAAGATTTATTCATTGTAACTAACTATATAAACTAAAGGAAGAATGGAGGCCTAACGGCCCAATTAATAAGCCCAATAGAGAATTAGTCGGCTATTCAAATTCCCAAAGGTTTGGACCCATGGAAAATAAGATATATACATATATGTGTATGTGTGTGTGTATGGACACATGGGAAATATTCAATAACTCAAATATTCTAATATATATATATGAAATTATAAAAAATAAAAATTAAAAAGATACCCGGCTGTTTCTTGGATAATGGTTCTCCCTTTAATCTGTCGATGGATGTTTTGTTTCTTTTTAATAATAATAATAATAATAATATTGTATATTATAATAGACGTAGTATAACTAAATATGTGTTCGGCGGTCAATGATTTTACATGGAATAGCTATATATTTCAGATTTTTAATATCGAGTTTTGTATAGGATAGGTTCAATCATTGTAATCTTTGGTTAATTTGCGAAGAATTGGTATAATTTTAGATTAGATGCCGACAGCCGCACGGATGCATATCTATTTATATTATCCTAATAACACAACTTCATTTTATTTCTGCAGACAATATATAATTTATTTCACTATTTTTCCTTTCCACTATCTGCTAAACAATGAAATCTTATATTTTCTGCATGATATTCTGCTTAGTATTTAAAAAAAAAAAAAGCTAAGATATAAGCGGTTATTTAGACAATTAAATTTTTTATAACTCCAAACTATATATAGTTCACGATTACAAATATAATATTATATTCGTTTCCAATCATAAAATTAAAATTGTATATGGAACTCAATTCTTTTTTTTTTTTTTAATTGCTTCTAATAAAGATTATATACGAGTGGCGCAAATAAAGTAATTAGAGATTATGGGATTATTGCACCATATATAATTCATGATTTGATTGTGAAATGTCCTACTAGTTCCCTGCCAACATAGCTGATTTGATTCAATTTAATCTTAGATTCTTTTTTTTTTTGGGTGTTTGTCCAATCACTATTAATCTTATCCTTTTTTTTTATAAATGTGGACCGATTTTTTAATTGCTTTTCCAAGATTGATGTATAACCTTCAAATTATTCATTCTAAATTGAATGATGCAGACATTTGAGGGGTTGTTTTATTATTATTATTATTATTATTATTAGTTTATTTATAGAGAGGATATAGATTTATTTTTATATTAATTTCGGGTTATATTTCGTCTTGTTATAAATTATTTGTTTAGTAAAAATATTTAATTTTTAGTTCAGTCTCTAATTTGATTTCTAAATTATTTTAATAGTACAAATGGGTTGGAATTTTAGTATTTCTAATTATAAATCTAGTGTTTTCACTATGTTTATAGTTTTCTATTTTTGTAAAAGTAATTAAAAAAATTTCAAGTCGTAATCACGTTCTTTGATGTAACCCCACTTTTAATTATCTTCTTAATTAATTGGGTCATATAATAATGAGGCTTAGGCCCAAGCCACCTGACCCTGTCGATTAGGTTGATGACCGATTTATCACGAATCACAGTTGTAACCTAATTAGCTTCCAATTTCAAAAGAGCCATCGTTCAGAATATATGTTCGTAACCCAAAATATGTTATTATTTATTGTAATGTGTGCATCTTTTAATTGATTTATTTCCTTTCCCTTACACTAAATATTTTTTTTATTTCCAACTTTTTGTACGGTGGCTCAGTCAGACGCAATAGCTTCTTCTTTTTTTTTAAAAAAAAATCCAAATTTTCAATTAGAAATAAATTATCATTTTTTGTACCAAAAAAATTATCAGCAGAAATAAATTATTTTAATTTTTATAATTCATTGTACTCATTGACTTAATATACGGTCTCTGTGCATTAATAGACGATATTTGTCACAATTATTTTAGGTTATTATCCTTAAAAAATAATCTCTCGTCGTATTTCCACAGAATGTTTTCCAAGCTGCTGAATTTGTACTAAACCTAAGATGATATATATATATATATATATATATATGTATATTGATGGGTTTTTTTTTTACAAACAGAAATATGAAGGGGTTGAACGGATTTTTAGAATTCAAAAATAAAAAAAATGACAAACAGAATTTTATAGATTGAATTTTCCCGAAAATTCAAAAAATTATTTTAGTGAAAGAATCAATTGAAAACCAAAACTCATTTTTTTTGTTTGGTTTTTGCAACAGAAATTTTACTGTATTAAGATTTTTTTCGCAGGAGTGATCGTATCAATCAACTTCACAATGGAAGAGGTTTTGAGTCACTCTTCCTAAGATTCCACCATCGATCGGTCTAAAAAACTAAAGATCACATCGTTTCTTTCTATATTTTACATAATAAAAAAAATGTGATCGTCAAATATTTAAAAAATATTGTAAATATATAAAATATTAAGGATATAAACGTCATATTATTTATATATACCATAGCGCAATCCGAATTTTTAGTCTGATCGCATCCATCTTCGACTCCGTTATATAACGAATATCCGTATATATAACGGATATTTGTGAGATCGAATGCTCGAAAATTTGCAAATTTCAAATACCCGCACCCACCCTACTAATGGTAAAAGAAGTGTCGCTAAGGAATCAAACCACACTGAACATTGCTAGGATTTATTTGGTCATTTATAAAAAAAAAAAAAATCAGTCTATATAATCATTTCTATTTTTCAAATTCAATATCATGTTTCGAAATGCTTTTATTAAGCTTTTAATTTTTCATAAAATTACAAAAAAAAAAAATCCACAATACTTCGGGATAAAGCAAAGTTCGACACCGTACCAATTAATTCATCACTTCATTTCCTTCTCTATTTAGGGCACCTCTCTCTCTCTCTCTCTTTCTCTCTACCAAAATTTCTGATCAATTAGTTTCTAGGGTTTACTCATCATAGAGGATGAGTCGAGGCGGCAGCTATGGCGGCGGACAAAGCTCACTAGGTTATCTTTTTGGGTCGGAAAAAGATCAGCCGTCGTGTAGTTCGACACCGTACCAATTAATTCATCACTTCATTTCCTTCTCTATTTAGGGCACCTCTCTCTCTCTCTCTCTTTCTCTCTACCAAAATTTCTGATCAATTAGTTTCTAGGGTTTACTCATCATAGAGGATGAGTCGAGGCGGCAGCTATGGCGGCGGACAAAGCTCACTAGGTTATCTTTTTGGGTCGGAAAAAGATCAGCCGTCGTGTACTCCTCCTCCTGTGGCCGCTAAGCCGCCCCCGCCGTACGGAATAGACGACGGCGAAGACAAGCCCAAGATGAAAATCACCGTCTCTAACAATAACTATCATAGAGCTCACGGCCAAAACTCCGGCAACTTCGTCACCGTAAGTTTCTTTGAAAAAAAAATCTTTATAATCATAAGTTTTTTGTTATATTGAATCGTTTTTAACAAAGTATATACGAAAGAATTTAGACTTTCAGTTTACGATTATCAATCTCAGGATCGTCCAACTACGAAGGTGAAATCAGCTCCCGGAGGAGGTTCTTCTCTTGGATACTTGTTCGGCGATAAGTAAATTAGGGTTTTTCATGGACTACTGTTTATCTAATAATGGGGTTTGATTATATATATATACATATGTATGTATCTGTCTGTCTGTATCGGTAGAAGGATACACATCTCCCTCTTTATATATATATATATATATTTATGGTTTTGTAGTTATTTCTTTGAGGATCTTTAAGAGATAACTAGAATAAATGATTGTGTTTTATATATGTTACATTCACGCACACACACATGTATACATATATCCAATATCCCGCCATTTAACACATATATCGACATTGAAACGCCAGCTCAAGTTTCTCCTTCAGACAGAAATGAGATTTTTTCGATGAACATGAACTATATGGATAACCGGTTCTAGAACGTTCCAAGCATGCAGATCTGTTAACATGAAATGGAAACTATAAAATCTTAATAACAAAGTTTTGTGGATTGTTTCAAACTATAATCATCTCCATAGCCCGGAAAAATAGAAAACTATACACAATCAGTTACAATTTTAACGAAAACATGACGTTGCTCCAAAATATATATGAAACAATCAAAAGAGTATATTGAAACGATGAAATTATCCATATTTTTATTCGTTAGTCTACCAAAATGTACCCTCATTGTATATACATATATATGATTGTCTTACATATATATATGTACACACACACACATATACATATATACATACAAGTGTCACCCACCTCCAACTTATGTTAATATTGGGTACAACACTCAGGATTTCTTACAAGTTCTGATTTTTATCTTCGGTCTTTGTATGCGATTTTACGGACGCAAAGCGATGGATGGTATCTTAAAAATTTACCTTCTTGGGTAAAATTTTCACGACAAGTCTTTTCCTTTCTTTTTTTAGTTACCTCGACGGGGTTTATGCTAGCAAGTAATATGTCTGAATTTGTGCGGCAGCTCGGAAACTGAGATTGCAAAATTGGGCTTTTCATGGGCTTCAGATACAATTGGGCTTATCACCAAACTATATTTATATAAAATTGGGCTTTAGTTAAATGTGGACATTTGTTGGGCTTGGTTGGATTTCTAAAAGCATAATAGTTTCTTGGGCAAAATTACCCCAATTTTGGGTTAAGATAGAGATCAGATTGTAACATGTTTAAAATTTAGAATTCGGATTTGAATTCGGGTAATTATTTATGGATATCCGAATAGTAAAATATATCTTTTTATATTTCTTAGTTATTAGAAATTACAAAGATCATATATTTGTTGATAAAAAACTATTGTAATATAATCTATTTATTTTGGATATAATATTTTTCAATAATTTTATTAATTATTTCTATATAATTTATCAATTTTTGAATTATTACCAAAATATATTTAAAATCTATCGGGTTTGAGTATTTATGGATATCTGAAAATTGTCACACCGATAATACAATTCGGGTAGCCAAAATTTTGATCCGATTTCGAATTTTAATATACATTACCCATCGAATTCGGGTTCAAATTTGAATTCGAATACTCTAAAAATCTCGAATACTCAATTTGTATCCACCCTAGTTTCATCTCTACCACTATGCCCCGGATGTGGAGGTCGGACCAAATGGTTTTGATCGGACAAGAAATTGGTTAGACATATGGACCCGAAAAATGTTGGATATGATAATAATAATCATAACATCAAGGGGCAGGTGCATCTTCTTGTCTTTTAGTTTCTAATAAATATTCCTCAACATTATTTAATTAACAAAAATACAAAACGAAAAATACTTAATTGCTTCATACTTTATGTGTTAAAATATTTACAAAAATAGTTCCTGCTAGCATTTGTTTTTCCGACTCCCATCGTTTTCTTACAGATATGTTAATATTTCACTAGTTAGTCATGTGTACAGAATACGACCTACCAATATCAGTTTCTTTCTCACGGATGCAAAACGGAAAATAACAATTTATTTCTGCATTATTATATATATGTCTTTTAGAATTTAAAATGCATAATCTTTTGGGAAGGGGCAATTCATAAAATCATTTTAAAAGGGATTAATATCATTTATTAAAAATAAAATCTATAAAAATTTCTAAATAAAAAATAAATTTTTACGAAATTTATTTTAACTCTCAAAATATATAATTATAATTTTTAAATCTATTTTTAAATCAATAACGTCAAGATTTTGTTTATTATATCAATTAATAATTTGGAAATTTTAATAATATTTTAAAATTTTATTAACCAAAAAATTTAAAACTTTATATTAATTTACAATTTTTAAATTTTTTTAGAGAAAATTTGTACGAGTATCCAAAAACGTCACGTCATTAGAAATCTATACTTTTTTTTCCTTTTTATAATTTTTTTTGACAAAAATACCCTTATTTTATTATATAATTTCAATGTTGCCATTAAACATTTCAAAAAAATTATAGCATAAAAAATATATATTTTATTCAGAAACTGTTATATCGGAAAACTGTTTTTTCATCCGGAATAATAATTTCCATCTGTGAGAATCTGTTTTTATTTGGTTTAACTGTTTTTGTATACGAAAAAATACTTTTTTTTATCAAGAATAACTGTTTCTCGTCCGAAAAAAATATTGTTTCATTCGGGAAAGACTTTTTTTTATATGAAAAACAATTTTTTTTATACGTGAGAACTATTTTTCATTCGGACAAAAAACGTACACTCCCGAACGAAAAACAACTCCCTCGAAAAAAACAGTTCGTCCGGACAAAAAAACAAAATTTTCCGAACGAAAAACAGATTTTTCCGGATAAAAAACAATCCTCCCGGACAAAAAACAGTTCTCCCGGACAAAAAAAAGATTCTACCGGATAAAAACAAACTCTCTCGAACAAAAACAGTTATTCTGGGCAAAAAACATACTCTCCCAGACGAAAAACAGTTCTTCCGGACAAAAAACAGACTTTCCCGGATGAAAAACAGTTCTCCCGGACAAAAAACAGACTCTCCCGGATGGAAAACAGTTCTTCCGGACAAAAAACAGTTCTCCCGGATGAAAAACAGTCTCTCCCGGATGAAAAGCAGCTCTCCCGGATTACACAGTTTCCAAAAAAATCTACTTTTTATATTACACATTTTTTCGGGACGCTAAATAACAATATTGAACTTATACAATAAAGTAATGATAGTTTTGTCAAAAATTTATAAAAAGATATAGTTTAAAAATGTCATAACTATTTTGTCATACTTTGCAAAACACTTAACTAAGACCCCCATTTTTTTTATAGGTATAGCTATGTGTTGCGGATAAAGAGCTGGAAATGACACGTCGGCTTTCACTTTTGTGCCGCGTGGAAGGCTGAGGAATCGATGGGCCCCACACGAAAATCAATGATCAGACCGCTCTTTTTTCTTCCCTCATTTGACCACTCTCGAAAAAATTACTATACACAATACAATAAATAATCCCCAAATCCCTTTCGCCTACACACTCGAAAATACCAAAAACAAAACCATTTTTCATTTTTATTAAAAAGGGAAGCCCCAAAAAAACCCAAAGGGTAACATCTTATTTCTTTTTTTATTTTACATTTTTTTCTCTCTGATAGTTTGCTTATTTTCTTAATTTCATCTTTTTCCCGAATAGTTTGCTTATTTTCTTAATTTCGTCGTTTCTTTTTACATTTTTTCCTCCAAGAGTCTGCCTTGTTTTCTTAATTTTATGTTTTTTTCCTTTTACAAATCTTTTTTTTTCCTCGAAGAGTTTGTAGTGGAAGAGCATTGCATTCCTCCGCACCTTTACCTGTCTTCCATCTCCTCTTGTCTCTCTCCCTGAACACAAACAAAGCATCCCTCATTTTCTCTCGTTTTCCCTCGTTTTCTCGCGTTTTCCCTCGCTCCCTCGCAATCGCTTTAATGGGTCTCTAGATTTTCTTTCGTATTGATCTTCTCTGCAAAAAAGGATCCGATTTTGTCTGTTAGATTTCTTCTGGGGAAGAACCACCACGCGAAGAGGGGAAAGATTTGAACTTCTTCGTATATTCAGAGAGACCCAGTTATCAAAACTAGCAATTTCCCCCCCAGAATCTGTTTTTGTTCTCAGCAAAAGCTGGATGAAAGGCAATCAGAAAGATTCGTCGGAGAAATCCATATGGGACCGGAGCTCGTCGGGTGCATCCTTACCCGGAATCGGGTCCGCGACCCGACCCATTCCCAAGCTCATGGTGTGGCTCATCCTCTTCATCTCCGTCACTTACATTCTGTACACTCTTAAGGTTATCTCCACCACTCGCCCATGCGTCGATCCGACTCCGTTTTCCACCGTCTCCGCCGTCTCCGCCAACGCCTCCGGCGACCTGATCCGACCCATGAAACAATCTCCCCCTTCCTCCGCTTCCTCCGCTGTCGCTCTACGGCGGCGCGAGTGGGAAGAATCCGGCGACGAGCCCACCGACCTCCACCACGTGGTGTTCGGTATCGCTGCGTCGTCGAAGCTGTGGAAACAGAGGAAGGAGTATATCAAGATCTGGTACAAGCCCAAGTTCATGCGAGGGTACGTGTGGCTCGACAAGGAGGTGAGGGCCGACGCGGGAGATAAAGGCGATCTCCCTCCGGTGAAAATCTCCGGTGACACCTCGTCTTTCCCGTACAAGAACAAGCAGGGACATCGGTCGGCACTTCGGATCTCGCGGATCGTGTCGGAGACTCTTCGGCTGGGACCGAAGAACGTGAGGTGGTTCGTGATGGGAGACGACGACACGGTGTTCGTCACCGACAACCTGATTAGGGTTCTGAGGAAGTACGACCACGAACAGATGTATTACATCGGGAGCTTGTCGGAGTCTCATCTCCAGAACATATTCTTCTCGTACGGAATGGCGTACGGAGGCGGAGGGTTCGCGATAAGTTATCCATTGGCGAAGGCTCTGAGCAAGATGCAGGACCGTTGCATACAGAGGTATCCGGCGCTGTACGGATCCGATGATCGTATGCAAGCTTGCATGGCGGAGCTGGGCGTTCCTCTCACCAAAGAAATCGGCTTCCACCAGGTAAAGTTCTGCACTTTCCGGCGAAATTCGGCGGCTTTTGATGATTTTGCGAATTGGGTATTGATGGTGTTTATTTTAACTGAAATGGGTACATGATTTTCGTCAGAATTAGTGGATCTCATGATTTAGTGAGAAATGGGTAGTGATGATATTGGTTTCTATGAAGTGGGTATTGATGATATTGGAACTTAGCTGAAATGGGGGCACCTCTCCTGGTTAGAAATCCAGCAAGTTTTTGATGATTTTGCCAAATGGGTGTCGATGGTACAGGTTTTAGCTGAAATGGGTAAATCCGTATTTGGTAGGATTGGCGATTGTTGATGGTTTTGTTAAAAGGGTCGCCTCAAAATCGTCGATCTGTTATGATTTCCGTGGAATTTTCGTTCGATGATTTTGATGTTCCCTGACATGGCTGACCTTCTCTTCAAGTAAATTCTACTACCATTTTGGATGATTTTGGCATGGGTATTGATGGTGAAAGATAACAGAATCAAGTTCTAATCGGGTTATAGCTAAGGGGGGAATCAGACTCTAGAAGCTTAGAGTTTCGGGTCTATACATAGTTGGTAAACTTTAAGGTTAAGAAACTTAACTCCAATTGATGTGGAACTATGAATGAGATCTCATCAAAGAGATTGGGCCTCTGTTCGATTCGAATCTTCCCAACTATAAGAACTCAGACTGTTCTTGATCAAATGCCCTTTGTGTTTTTTTTCCCTCTTTTGCCATTTTCGATTTGGCCATTTGGTTGGTCAAGAAAAGGGGATTGACGAGTCATTGGTTCGGACTTAAGGGCTGTTTTTTGTGTGGTCTGAAGTCGCCGGTCGGCGGGGGCCGACTCATCATGGGCGGTTCACGGAATCGGCCTTAGATTTTTCTGGTCTTTGGTATTGCTCTAAGTTATTAATTGATTTATTCAAAGCTTTTTTTGTCGTTACACTTTGAAATGTAATCCAGGGCTTTGTTCTGTTTCCGATTTCCAACAGTTCATTAGAATTTTTTTTTTTTAAATAATTATTTTTTCTAATAAAAACGTTTAAAATTCCTTAAGACATGGATGTTAAAACAAAATTACGATGTCACGGCGTGTGATCAGCTCAATCTTGTCCGTTCACGTGGGGTTCCTATGTGTCGGAAATTAGAGCGTCTTCTTCCTACCCATTTCCACACGCGCACTCAGGGCGCGTGCATTACAAACCACCATCCCTTATTGTGGTATCACATTCTTTACCAGTCCAAGCATGAAGAATATACATTCTCTATCTAACATGACGTGGCAAATTCTTGGCATTGTTTCTTGTTTCAGTACGATGTTTACGGGAACCTCTTCGGCCTCCTGGCCGCCCACCCGGTCACACCATTCGTGTCGATGCACCACCTGGACGTGGTCGAGCCGATATTCCCGAACACGACCCGAGTCAAAGCCCTCAAGCGACTCACAATCCCGATGCAGCTCGACTCAGCGGGACTTCTCCAGCAGTCGATATGCTACGACAAGTACAAGAGCTGGACGATCTCCGTCTCGTGGGGATACGCCGTTCAGGTCTTTCGGGGCATATTCTCTCCCCGAGAGATGGAAATGCCGTCGAGAACGTTCTTGAACTGGTACAAACGTGCTGATTACACGGCCTATGCCTTCAACACTAGGCCGGTCAGCCGGCATCCGTGCCAGAAACCGTTTGTTTTCTACATGTCGGGGGCGAAATTCGATCGGCAGCTGAACACGACTGTCAGCGAGTACTCGAGGCTCCGGGTCCCGCATCCGGCTTGCCGGTGGAAGATGGCGGATCCGGCGGAGGTAAACACTATTGTCGTCTACAAGAAACAAGATCCTCATCTTTGGGAGAGGGTAAGTGAATAAATTTTGCATTAACAGTCTTGGTTTTTTTTTATAAGGGTATTTATGTAATTTTGTATTATTCTAATTTAGTTTCTTATTTTATTTCGGGGCAGTCACCAAGGAGGAATTGTTGCAGAGTGTTACAAACGAAGAGGAACAACACGTTATGGATCAATGTGGGTATATGTAGAGAAGGTGAGGTCACTGAGGTTAATTGATTTTATGTTTCATTTTTTTGTAATGATTTTTATTTTAAAGGGGGGAAATCGAGTTTTTAGTCTCTTTATATACATTTTTACTCAATTATTTTTTTACCGTCTAGCTATGTTTTATATTCGTCGAGTACCTAATTCTTCATTGGATTTGTTTATTCGCATTTTACAAAATTTTAATTATGGTAGAAGCACTGTTGGTTGTAATGCTCTAGGATGATCCGTGATATGACATTTTGACTTTGTATTGGTTCATTGATTTATGAATGCATTACATCCCCGTTATATGATTGGCATGTTTGTTATATTTCGGTATCCTTGAATCATTATAGAATGATTCTAAACACCCTGGTCAGTTATCATTGTGGGAACAATGATGAATTAAGACTAGCATGAGGTGTGATCGATGCATTGGATGCATATCACAATCATGGGTACTCGTTGTGAATGAGTGACTGGTTGACCCGCATGAGATTGTCACATGGACAGAGTCATGACTTGAATCTCATAAAGCGGTTCGTTCTTGGATCCTCAGACCTGAGATGTCTAGAGTATCTGATATGAGGAGTGGCGTGTCTTGACTGCGTCAAACGTCGTCTTTAACCGGATGATTATAACGGCGTTGATCAGATACGTTCACGAATCATATGGAGATAGTAGACATGCAATATGGGACTTGTCACCTCCTTAACAGGAGAGATATCGCTGGGCCCTCTCGTGGAAGTCGGACTATGAAAATGCGTGGCCACGCTATAGATGAAGTTGCATATATTTTATTAGTCGATTTGCCAAGACGAGAAAGCGGTTGAACTTGAAGGGTGGCTCAAACCATGCCCTTATTCAACACATGATATCGTGAGATAAAGGATCAGAACTCGAGCTGTTATTGCCTTGGTTAGATCACCTCTAACTCAATTCTAAATGGGTGGTCATGGCGTCTTGCTAGAGGCTAACCATGACTTGTAGATCGGGAATGGTTCTCGAGGCTGCTGCCACTGCGAATGGGCCTACAGGGTCACACACCATTAGGGATGGACTTATATGTGAAGTTTCGGAAAGGAAGACTTGGATTTGGTCGGAAAAACCGTTTTCGGATCAAATCAGAGTGTCGGGACGTTTTCAGCCTTCTGACTCGGACCGAGTCAGTGCCTTGGCTGATGTTTTGACTCGGTCGAGTCAAAGTTTTGACTCGGACCGAGTCAATACTAAATGGGCCGAGTCAAGAGTTGACAATGGGCTTGGGCTGATTCGTTCTGACTCGACCGAGTCAGAGTTCTGACTCGGACCGAGTCAAAATACTCGGAAAAAGTCTCTTTTCACAAGGATTAGGGTTTCTAACTTATAAGGAGGTGTTGGACGCCGTCCTAAGTGAAGCATTCGACTTACAGAACCCTAAGACAGAGCAAAAACTCAGAAGAAATCGTTTTTTTCATAGTTCTAGCTCTCGGGATTAGATCCCACTTCATATACTTCACAGATCCTAGCAGATCGGTTCCAAAAGCGTTTGGAATCCTTCCCGTCGGTGTGGATACGTGTAGAGGGACTGTAACTTCAGTCCTAGGTGATTAAACAGGCCCCGGATCGACTCCTACTTCCGTTTCTTCAAGAAAGAGGTAAGTATTCGATTCCCACGGTGATATACACGATCTGTTCGGGTTTTGCAGGTTTGGTTGCGTGTGACGTTTGACTAGGTTTAGAATATCCTTCCGCTGCATGAAACCTAGTAAACCAAACCCTAGATCGATATGATCGCATGCTAGGAATCTGTAGCCTAAATCCCAACAAGCACATCATACATTAATTAACCATGTTTCTTAATTAATTTGATTGAAATGAAATGAAAATGATCCCTAAGCAAAAGGTTGAAGAGTACATGTTTTTTTACTACAAAAGATTCTCCAATGATTTTGTAGTTTTTTTTTATGTGATATAATTATAACCATTGTCACACCCTTTTTCTCCATTAGCCCTTTCTTTTACTATTTTCCTTAGGAGGATGTTTAATCATTCCCATTAGTGGATAATTAAACAATTAGTTTTAGTAAATATTTATATACTAAACAAATAGTGTGTATATATATACTGCATGCTTTTTTTTATCAATAATTTTGTGCATAATTCTGTGTTTTTTTTAGTGTGACGACCATTTTTTTTTGTCCTAGGGACGAATTGACATGTTACATGTTTATGACATATATTTGCCTCTGAATGTGACGCGACCAAAGTCATGGGTGCGTTGACCTAGTAAGGAGTTGTGTGGGGAGCTATATAATATCAATATTAAACAGATAATCATTTTTTATTCTTTAATTAGTTTTAAAAAATATTGAAACGCATTTACCAAAAAAATGTTCTGTGGGTGTGCCCCGTGATGACGTATCGAAATTACTATTACGATCACATTTTTTTAAAACACATTGTTCTCAATAATATTTATTATTGTTATTATTATTATTATTTCCATAAGCTCTTTAGTCAGCAAGAGAGAAAAAGATAGTTGGAAATTAAATTCGTACATAATTAATTATTAGCTTTCATAATAAAAAAAACAATATTTACGAAAGTTATCAGAGGGGTAGATTGTGGTGGGCCCGACAAAAAATGTATTGGTCTGAAACCGACTCTGTTTTAGGTAAAGCTAATTATTTGACTAGGCCTGTCAATTTTTTTTTATTTTTTTAATGTTCTGCTACTTTTTTTTTTTGTGTTCTCGCATTTTTGTTATTTACCGTCAACAAAATTTGGCTTTGTTCCTTTTTTATTATAATATTGAGAATAGAAAAATATAAAAAATTATGAGATTATAAATGGATATGTAGTTTTTCGCATTGAAGGATATGGGGTAAAACTAAATTACGTATTCGTGATCAAATAAAATCCGATCAAGTAAATATATTGGGCGTTTATAATTATATAATACGGTAATACCTAAAAGAAATGTAATTGGGCAAAAGTGTAAATTATCGTTATGGGCTTTGTTATCCACAAGAAGCCCAATATTAAGCCCATTAAAAAAAGATGAAAAGATGGAGATGCGGGGTATCGATCCCCGTACCTCTCGCATGCTAAGCGAGCGCTCTACCATCTGAGCTACATCCCCATATAAATAGATATTATGGTATTTGTAGTTATGCTTTTAAACCAGTTATTGGCTCATGAATAAATAAAAATGTACATATTATCTCATAATAGCATGTACTGTAATGTTGTTACATACTCCCCGTACATTCTACTGTGTATGCGAGAGAGAGGGAGACAAAGAAGATAAGAGCTAACATTGATGGGTCCGCAATCCAGTGTTCAGTTTCACTCCAAAGGTCATCATATCTACTCTATTGTTTTTTTCCTTACGCTCTTATCCTTCTCGAAAGAAATAAAAAATAAAAATAAAAATTGAACACTCAAATGTAACAAATTGTATGTCCAACCGTGGCCATACTAAATTCTTGTAGATACTTATATTTGGTTATATATCATCCTACAATTAACTTTTATGATAATTTAAATTATTGATGATCTGTGTATCTTTTAACAATCTTATTATTCTGTTTCATTCATGTATTTATATTAAAATTGTCTGAGTTCTGAGCTTCCGTCCATGTTAGAAAATACTCAGAGAGATCTTTGGAAAATGTATTATAAATAAAAATATGTGGACCCCACACACCACTCAGACGCCGCAGCAATTCGCCATCTTCAAGGGGACGACCACACCCAAAAATTAGTCAATAGTCATACATGCCGTCTATAAACACACAGACAGACATATATAATATCTATATATAGCTCATACATATGCACTTCAAGCTTCAATCTCTCTCTCTTCCATTTTCCGGCGATGGGCTCTCCGGTGGAATTCAAGGAGCTCCGGTTACCGGCGTGTGTTCTCTACGCGCTTCACGTCGCAGCTTTCTTCAGAGACCTAATCGCTACTCTCTGTCAGTACATCGGCTTACCCGACGAGACCCGGCAACCCGATCCGCCCCGACAATCTTCCGCAGCAGACGATGGCGCGTGGCGTGACGTGCCGCCGTCGAGTCTCGTGGATAAGATCGTACCGATGGTACGGTTCTCGGATCTCCAACCCGACCCGGAAGACTGCTGCACGGTGTGTCTGATGGAGTTTGGATCTGACGACGAGATCCGGCGGCTCAGGAACTGCCGCCACGTGTTCCACCGGGGTTGTCTGGACCGTTGGATGGTGAGCCACCACAAGATGACGTGTCCGGTTTGTCGGGACCGGTTCGTACCGGATGAGATGATGGAAGATTTCACGCATTGGGTCTCCGGTTCCGGTCCGGTTGTGTACGGACTCTACCGGTGGTGGTTTTGATTTTAACTTTGCTCCAATCCAACACAATGTTACTTGTAATGTAAAAATGTTAGAAGTTATAATTAGTGTTAATTATTTTTGTTGTTTTTATTTTGTAAAATATATGGTTGATTTGTCAACCAAGCAATGTTCTATATGTAACAGTTTCAAACTAAATGATTTTAGAAAAGAAGTTAATGTCTCTTCTAGCTCTAAAGAACGTATAAATGGCTGATAAATCAAAGAGATAATATATATGCCTAGTTATTGTGCATGAAATATACACAGAATTCTTTCAATCCGGATATATAACTACTATTTTTATTTTTATTATCAGTAGATTTCAGTTATTTTGATTTTTTAACAAATAACAATTGAGATTTACATATATTAACAAAGATTAAGATAATTTCTTCATCAAATGATAATTTTCAATTAGATCGACAAGTGTATATCTAGAGGTTGAATGTTGATAGTTTTTATTTTGAAATTTTGGTTATATTTTTTAGGTTTTAGATTTTAGTTTTCTTATATTATTTATAAAAATAGAGTTTTTTATTTTTAGTTATTTTTTTTAATAAAGTAGTTTTTCACATCTTGAAAATTTTATATTTATAAAATCTTGATTTTTTTATTTATAAATTTTAAAAATTCAAAAATTCTATTCCTTTAATCCTTTTCTTAATTGGTTCAACCATGTGGAGCTTGTAATTGTGTCAGTCGTCAACAAGACACGTGGAAAAGGATGTTTTTTTTAATATATTAGTATATTTGAAAAATAGCAATTGACTGTTTAATGCATGCGATGACAAGAAGGGTAGTTCGGTGAATTCAAATTTTCAATATTAACGGAGACGGGAAACCAGCGGATGATTTGTATGACCCGCTAGGCGCTACCAACCAAGTGAGCAGAGACGTGGCGGCCGTCAAAGTTGGACGTCGCGATAACGGCAGGTTAAGATTCCGTTCGATGATTGACGACGCCACTCCGTTTAAAAAAAAAAAAATTCTATCTACCGTAAAGTTGACGCTTTTGACTTTTGACTGTTCGCTGTGAATATTTTAGATCAAGGTATAAACTAATTTAGTAGTTGGAAACTAAGATATAATTTGAAATATATACCGTTCTTTAAATTTGAAATTCGAATTCGGAATGAGATAAACGCTTTATACTCTCGTCTCACCGACTAAACTATCCAAATTTTGGTTTGCCGATAATTATAAAATTGCAAACCTGTATCCTATTGAGGTAGAGACGGCCATTTGTTTCATTTTATCCGTAAAAAAAATCGATTTGATATAAACTGGGACACCCACTGTTGTCCATTCTGAACCGGCGCAGCTTAGGATCCCGAAATGACACGTGCGATGGTCCCTCCCTCCATCCAGCTACTACCAGCACCGTACTTGGCTTTTCTTCAACTACGTTCCAGGACCAAGTTCTCTGTAGAGGCTATTTGGATGGAGCTTCGGGATCAGGTGAGGGTCACATCACATGGCACCAAATTGTTTGGTTCCGATCTGTATTACCATGATGTAATTATTACACGTTGTTAACGTGGAACTATACTTGCACATGAAAATAATAAATACAAATTATCCTTTATATATATATATATATATAAGAATCCGTATAGATAACTATAAGCTGAAAAAAAGAAACATGGGCAGAAATGTCAAAGGTCGAGACAGAAGACAAAACAACATGAGTAGAAGTCTCACACAAACAAAAACCTCTCGGTCAGATGTACAAAGCCATTTGAAACTCAGTCCACGGTGATGAAGTTGCACAAAAAATACACGCATACCAACGAAGGTGAAAGTAACGGAGACAGATAATCCCATTGCAATATTTCCAACGTGAGGGAACTGGTAATGGGTGATTATTTTGGGTAACCAGCCGGAGGATAAGCCTGAGGAGGGTATTGAGGATAACCAGGTGCTGGATAACCTTGTTGAGGGTATCCAACCGCTGGCGGAATCGGCTGATCGAACCGAGACATTTGCTGCATCGGAGGCACTGCCATTGGCTGAGGACCGAACTTACCGTCTCTCTTGTCCATTTCAACCTTGTGTTGTGTCTGTCGGGGCAGTGTTTTTTTTGGGGTGAAAGATTAGTCAGAGAATCCATGGAATCAGTTGAAGTGTTTGATTGGGATGTGAAATTGGATGAGTTCTTTTACCTGCATGCATGCGCAAACCCTGCAAGATGATTGAAATATGATGATCATCAGAATGATAGGTTAATAGTGTGATTTGTTCTTTTGGGGTATGGAGAGATGAGGTTAAGGGAAAG